CCCCCAGAGGCTCCAGAGCACACAGGCTCCTGAGACATTTCACCCACTAACACCCATTGCAGAGCCAAAAAAGAAACTGTTTTTCCAAGGCCCAACCCTAACTGTGATGATGTTAGCACAGTCGCTGGAAACTAGCTCACCATACAGATGCACTGCCTCACGCCAGAGGCTTCCTTCTTTACCGTGCCGACATCCCAGTCTCGAGCACGCAGCTGGCAGCGCTTGCTGTGACCAATGGAAAGGTCCCTGTGGCAGACTGGTTTTCTCTTCCCTCTCGTCCCTGGGGGAGGCTAAGAAAACCAATCAAGTCTGAAAAGAGAGGATACAAATACTTGGAGCTACACGTCCAAGCAGTCAGCTGCAGAGATGGAGGCAGTTTGCAAATTCACTTCTGAGGAGCGGTTCCTCCTCACACTGAGACGGTCATGCATCTCAGCTGGGGTGGACTTAAAGGAAGAAAGAAGGAGTGTGCCAGAGTATAGTCATCTCTCTCTCACACACACACACAGGGCGGGAGAGGGGGGCAGGATTTTAGGCTTCCGGGAAAAACTATGCTAAGCAATTTAAACCTCACCACATATGAACTGTGTTTTAATTAGTTCCCCTCGCAAGCCTATGAAGCAGATGCTGTAATTAATTCCTTCCATTTCAGTTGAAGAAATGGAGGTTCTCAGAGCTTAAGTGAGTTTGCCCTTCATCACCCTAGCTCATAGGTGAAAGCTACGATCTGATTATAGATCTGATTCCAAATTTCTAACACAGGCGGTAGCCCCACCCCCTTAAGAAAATCTGAGGGCTAATGAGACGGCCCAGTCTATAAAGGTGATTGCTGCCAGACCTGACCACCTGAGTTCAAGTCCCAGGAACCACACAGAGAATGAGAGAACTGACGTTTGCAGTTTGTCTTCCAACCTCCAGATATGCAGCACAGCACACACACACACACACACACACACACACACACACACACACAATCATACACACACATGAAAGCACATACACAATCACTCAGAGATAAATAAATGCAATTTAAGATTTTGAAAAAAAGAACATCTGGAGGGCAAAAAGAAATTTAGATGCATTTTTAAAAAATGGAACCCTGGGTTGGAAAAAAAATGTCTTCTAAACATTTTGAGTGAGTTTTCTGTGTGGAAACACACATTCATATTTGACCATATTCTTGTTCTGTGCCTGGCATTGTATTTGTTTTGGTTTTGGTTTTCTTTGGGGGAGGGAACTGTTTTTGAAAGGCTGTCCTTGATTTTAGCAAAATAACCCAGAACTCTTCAGAGATAAAAAGACCAAAATAAACCCTAAGTGTTTAAGAAAGAAAAAAAAGTTAGTTTAAATCCTTCTTTCTCAGAAAAGTACTCATTCTGACAAGTTATATTTCTAGACCTCTGAATCTTCAATGTGAGAGATTTTAGTTTTATATCTACGAGTGTTTGCCCGCATGTATATATGTGCATCGTGTGCACATTTGTGGCCTGTATTGCCACCAAAGGCCACAAGTATGCGCACTGGCACCAAGTTGGAAAAGAAGAAGTCAAACTCTTACTGTTTGCTGATGATATGATGGTTTACATAAGTGATCCCAAAAATTCTACCAAGGAACTTCTACAACCCATAAACACTTTCAGCAATGTAGCAGGATACAAGACTAACTCAAAAAATTCAGTAGCCCTCCTGTACACAGATGATAAAAGGGCTGGGGAAAAAATCAGAGAATCAACACCCTTCACAATAGCCGCAAATAGCATAAAATATCTCGGAGTAACTGTAACCAAACAAGTGGAAGACTTTTATGACAAGAACTTTAAATCTTTGAAGAAAAATTGAAGAAGACACCAGAAAGTAGAAAGATCTCCCATGCTCCTAAGTAGGCAGAATTAACATAGTAAAAATGGCAATCTTACCAAAAGCAATCTACAGATTCAACACAATGCCAATCAAAATCCCAGTAAAATTCTTCAAAGACCTCCAAAGAACAGTACTCAACTTCATATGGAAAAACAAAAAAAATCCAGGGTAGCCAAAATAATCCTGTACAATGAAAGAACTTCTGGAGGCATCACAATCCTTGACTTCAAACTCTACTACAGAGCTACAGTACTGAAAACAGTCTGGTATTGGCATAAAAACAGACAGGAGGACCAATAGAACCAAACAGAAGAGCCGGATATCAATCCACACATCCTCGAACACCTGATCTTTGATAAAAGAGCAAAAAATATCAAATGGAAAAAAGAAAGCATATTTAACAAGTGATGCTGGCATAACTTGATATCAACATGTAGAAGAATAAAAATAGACCCATATCTATCACCATGTGCAAAACTCAAGTCCAAATGGATCAAAGACCTCAACATAAAGCCAGCCACACGAAACCTTATAGAAGAGAAAGTGAGACGTACACTTGAACACATTGGCACAGGGAACCACTTCACAAATATAACCCCAGCAGCACAGACACTGAGAGAAACAATTAATAAATGGGATCTCCTGAAACTGAAAAGCTTTGTGAACAAGACAAAACGACAGCCTACAGAATGGGGAAAGATCTTCACTAACCCCACATCAGACAGAGGGCTGATCTCCAAAATATACAAAGAACTCAAGAAATTGGACACCAAAAGATCACATAATACAATTTAAAAAAAAAATGGAGTACAGACCTAAACAGAGAACTCTCAACAGAGGAATCTAAAATGGCTGAAAGACACTTAAGGAAATGTTCAACATCCTTAGTCATCAGAGAAATGCAAATCAAAACAACTCTGAGATTCCATCTTATGCCTGTAAAAATGGCCAAGATCAAAAACACTAATGACAACTTATGCTGGAGAGGTTGTGGGGGAAAGGGAACACTTCTGCATTGCTGGTAGGAATGCAAACTGGTACAGCCCCCTGAATGTCAGTGTGGTGATTTCTCAGAAAATTAGGAAACAACCTTCCCCAAGACCCAGTAATACCACTTTTGGGTATATATCCAAAGGATGCTCAATTGTGCCACAAGGACATGTGCTCAACTATGTTCATAACAGCATTGTTTGTCATAGCCAGAACCTGGAAACAACCTAAATTCCCCTCGACCAAAGAATGGATAAGGTAAATGTGGTACATTTACACAATGGAGTACCACACAGCAGGAAAAAAAAAATGACATCTTGAAATTTGCAGGCAAATGGATGGAACTAGAAAACATCATTTTGAGTGAGGTAACCCAGACACAAAAAGACAATTATCATATGTACTCGCTCATAAGCGTTTTTTAAACATAAAGCAAAGAAAGCCAGCCTAAAAACCACAATCCCAGAGAACTTAGACAACAATGCAGACACTAAGAGAGACTTACATAGATCTAATTTACATGGGAAGTAGACAGTATAAAAAGACAAGATCTCCTGAGTAAATTGGGAGCATGGGGACCTGGGGGGGAGGGGTTGAAGGGGGTAGAGGAGAGGAAGGGAGGGGAGCAGAGAAAAATGTAGAGCTCAATAAAAATCAATAAAGATGTAAAAAATGGGAAAAAAGAGAGACTCTTTGTCTAAAAATAAAATAAATACATTTATTATTAGTGTGTGTCAGTTTGGGTACCCACCAAGGGAGTTAGGGGTGGGGGAAACTTTCAGGAATCAGTTCTCTCCTTCCACCATGGGTCCCACAGAACAAACTGAGGTTGTCAGACCCGCACAACAGGTCCCTTCACCAGGTGAGGTGAGCCATCCCACCGGCCATCCCATGGGCCATCCCACGGGCCATCCAACTGGCCACCCCTTGAGCCATCCCACTGGTCATCCGATAAGCCATCCCATAGGCCATCCCACTGACCATCCCATGAGCCCTCCCACTGACTATCCTATGGGCCATCCCACTGGCCATCTCATGAGCCATCCTATGGACTATCCCAGGAGCCATTCCACAGGCCATCCCACGAGCCATCCCACTGGCCATCCCACTGGTTATCCCACTGTAGTAGGAGCTGCGGGCCTGCATTCTGCCACCCAGCTCCCGCCACCGGCTTGCTTTACCCGAAATAACAACACACAAACTGTATTCATTTAAACACTGCTTGGCCCATTAGCTCTAGCCCTTACTGGCTAATTCTGATATCCCGATCAACCCATCTCTAATAAACTGTGTAACACCAGTCTTACCAGGAAAGATTCAGCATGTCTGACCTGGTGGCTTGCTTCATCGCGTGTCTACCCGGGAGAGGGGAGCATGGCCTCTCTGCTCCAGAGAGCAGAGCTGTCGAGTCTGAGCTCACTTCCTCTTCCTCCCAGCATTCTGTTCTGTCCCACGAGCCATCCCACTGATTATCCCAAGAGCCATCCCACTGGCCCAATATGCGTTGTTTCCCTCATCCCTTAATCCAAAACAAGCCTCGCCTTCTGTTCTGTGCCATTTACTCTCTGGAGCCACTGGCTCATTTCCCCTTAGCGCATGCTACATGGAGACTCCAGTGACAGCTGTGGAGCTTGTTCCTCCGGCTCCCGGATTCCTGAGTGGGAAGCTGAAACTAGAGGCTGGATTAGATTCTGGAAACTATGGCCTGCAATTCATTCTTTCAAAGGAGGCACCCCAAGTGCATGACTCGTCTCACCTGTGGCGGCGTGCAGGATGCAGGACTGATCTCCGTGTTTAGGGCTCATTGGTCTGATGCGTTCGTTTCCCACTTTCCCATCAGCATTGCTCTTTGACCTAGCAACATCAATCAGACCTACTTTCAACACCGCTGATCTGTTATTGCATTAGGGTGCTGCTAAGTGGTCCTTTCCCACCAGTCCGTCTATGTTTGTTAACTAAGATCCTTCAAGAAAGAACTTTGCGGGGGCTGGAAAGATGGCTCAGAGGGTAAGAGCACTGGCTGCTCTTCCAGAGGTCCTGAGTTCAGTTCCCAGCAACCACATGGTGGCTCACAGCCATCTGTAATGAGACCTGGTGTGTTCCTTGCCAGTAGTACATTGTATGCTTAATAAATAAATAAATCGGGCGACATGGCTAAATGCACCAAGAAGGTCGGGATCTTCGGAAAATACGGGACCCGCTATGGTGCCTCCCTCCGGAAAATGGTGAAGAAAATTGAAATCAGCCAGCACGCCAAGTACACGTGCTCCTTCTGTGGCAAGACCAAGATGAAGAGACGAGCCGTTGGCATGTGGCACTGTGGCTCCTGCATGAAGACAGTGGCTGGTGGGGCCTGGACCTACAACACGACTTCTGCCGTCACAGTGAAGTCTGCCATCAGAAGACTGAAGGAACTGAAAGACCAGTGAAAGTGCTACCTACCATTTGATACCCAAGCCTACTGCAATAGTGCACAGCCAACTAAATAAATGGGTTAATTTACGTAACAATAAATAAATAAATAAATAAATAAATCTAAAAAAAAAAAAGAAAAAGAACTTTGTAATCAGGGTTCCCTGCCCTGTGGGGAAGTCCATGGACGAGGTGAGGGAAATGGGAGGCGGTGGCCGGGAGGAGGCAGAAATCTTTAATAAATAAATTTTTTAAAAAATGGGAAAAACAGGAAAAAAAATAAAGTTTAAAGCAGTGGAAAAAAATAAAAAAAATAAAAACACTACTACCTACAACAATTAGCTAAAAATTGTTTTCTACCCTTCCCAGTAAAAGGAAATAAAACACAATGAGCCAAAAAAGAAAAAAAAAGAAAAAAAAAGAAAGAACTTTGTCATTACTCAGCAATTAAAAAAAAAAGAATGACGAGCTGAGAGCACATGGATGAACCTTGAAAAAACTGTGCTAGGTAAAAGGAACTCACAAAGAACACATGCTATTCGCTTTCACTTATGTAGAAGGTCTGGGGAAGGAAAATCCAGAGGCAGAACAGAGATTAGTGGTTGCCCAGGCTAGAGAGATGGAGAACGGTGAATGACCGCTAACACGTACAGAGCTTCTTCTAAGGGTGAAAATATTATGGATTCGGGATATGGTAAATGCTTGCACAACTTTACAAATATAGCAAAACCATTAAATTAAGTGGGTGAGTTTTGTGGCATATGCAGAATTATAGGCCAAGAGAGATATAAACAAACAACTTTCCTTTGAGGTCTGGTGCTCGGTGGAATGCATGAGGTCTTGGGTTCAATTCCCAGGACCAAGGAATTTTTTTTTCTTTTGAATATGGCTTATCTAGTAAAGTTAATATAATTCTGTCTTTCCCTTCCAAGTAATGAGCTGGGTGTTCTAGCAGACCTCTGTGGTGACAACGCCTTTTAAAGTAGTTCCATAGCTCAGGGATATTTACTCAATGTATTCAAGTCTCATGTCCATTACTGTTTGGGGCTCACAAATTCTGTCCATGGCCAGGGGGGTACTTCTATGCCTGGTGTGACCCCCCAATTAATCTTTAACAATGTTCTCATTTTCTGGGACAAGCTAGCCTGATGTTGCTATGCAACAGCTGGACTCAGTCTTCTCTCGTGTCTTTTAGGGGCAGATCTTTGAAAAGCATCACCTGAGTACCGAGGGTGGTAATCACTGTTCTCACAGCTCTGCACACCTCTTTAGGGGGCCAAACTAGGAAAGTGTGATTTAGAAAGAGAAAAATCATGACTTCAAAGTCCTACTTCCAAGTCAAATGGGTGGCTACAATGTTCTGACTTGGGTTTTATTCTTACATTTTGCTTTGTCTTTGACTGAAAATCTTTGTTTCTATTGATACTAACATGGGCATTATTTTGTGATATGTTTTATGTTTCATAGTAATGATATAAAATAACAGTATCCAAAAATCCAGGATCTTCATATTTTTAGATTTTATTAATTATGTGTATATGTAAATGTGTTACACTATGTGTATGTGTCATGTATACACAGGTGCATGCAGTGACCTGAGGCTTTGGAGTTATGGGCTGGAGAGATGGCTCTGCTGTTAAGAGCACTGCATGCTCTTCCAGAGGTCCTGAGTTCAATTCCCAGCAACCACATGAAGATGGCTCACCACCAACTGTAATGAGATCTGGTGCCTTCTTCTGGTGTGCAGGAATACATGGAGGCAGAACACTGTATACATAATAAATGAATAAAACAAAAAAGAAAGAAATGGTGGGAGTCTTTAAAACTCTCAAAGCCCATACCTTCTAATCCTCTCAAATAGCACAACCAGCTAGGGACCAAGAATTCAAATGCCCAAGACTATGGGAAGTACCTCAAAGCACTTTCCTTTCTTTCCATAGGTAGTTAGTGCCTTCAGTGAACTCTCTCAGACAGGCAGACAGCCTACAGATTGAGGGAGGATTCAGACAAATCTAAGAATCTAAGACATTGGAGATTTGACTCAGTGACAGGACACTTACCTAGCAAGAACAAGGCCTTGGGTTTGTTCTGTCCCCGGCATCAGAAAGGGAAAAAGGGGGAGGGGGAAAGAAAAAGATAAAAACAAAAAACAGAAAACAAAGGAAGTAAATGCGGACCTCTGGATACAAGTATTCAGCAGGTTCCAACTTCAGTTTCAGGCTGTGGTGAAGGCGGTGCCTCTGTGCCCATGAGACAATGTTTGTTCATCATTGCTAAGTACAACATGATCTCTCTGTCCACCAGGCAAGTCAGGGGCACCATTTATTTGGTTCAGCCCAAGATTTTTCAGGAAAACCCTGTGCATTCAGCTAAAACCTCTGGAGATTAACTCGACTTTAAGCTCCATTTACAAAAGGTCAGAAGCAGTTCAGCTTTCTATCCTCACTCTTAAATAAATTCTGCTTCTCGCAATAAGCACTAGTAAATATGTTGTGAGCAGAGCATCAGGAATCCGTGTTCAAAAAATTAGATTCCTCAGGAAAACCTTGGCCTGAGTCCCTTAACTTCCAAGAGACTTTACCTTAAGAGCCGAAGGCGGGAGGAATTGAAATATGTATCTATTCCCCTGCTCAGCATCCTGCAGACAAAATCCCTCCCCAGTTCCCACAGAAGGAAAGCTGAGCCTCGGAAGCTAACTTAGGCTGCACTTGCAGTCATGAGACCCTACTCACACCACCTCCCTGTCTGTCACTTACCTGCAGCACCTGTTATGCCCAGATCTGCAAAGTCCCCCAAAAACCAACAAGGAGACCGAGTCCCATATGTAAAAGCAAAGAGCCTTTATTTTATACAAACTTGGTCTCTTCATATGTCCAATGTATTGGAATAATAATTGGTGTCAGGAGCCAATTTTCTCCTAGGATTATTATAGGAACCATCACCCAGGGGAGTCTGCAGAGAATTCCACACCCCTAATTGTGTTAGGAATCGTTCTATTGACAGAGCCTACCCCACACCCAAATTGGCTGTTAATGGAGAGCTATCTGTTAGCGGAACCCATCCCACATTCCAAACTATCTAAAGAACTAGGTGTGTCAACTCGTGACTTCCTGGCCTAGGTGACCTAACCGAAGGTAACCTCCTGGACCATGTGACCAACGTGAACCACCTGGCAAGAGCCCAGGCCCCTGTACCCACCCCCCAACTCCTTACCCTATATAAGCTGTACCCCATCTCTAATAAACGGAGGCTCTGACAAACCTAGCATGGCCTCCTTCCTCTCTCTCAGCTCATATCTTCCAGATAGTGCCCCTCCGGGACCCTGGAATAACTGAACTGCCAGGTGGGTTACAAACCCCTAGACTAAGTAACCCGCCAAGGCAATCAACAAATTGGAGAGCCCCGTTTTTTATTTCTTTTCTTTTTTTTTTTAGAGAGAGAGTTGGGTTTTTATAGTAGTAAAGGTGGGGGAGGGGGAGTAAAATTACCTGGCGTGAGAAGGAAACACGGAACACGCAACAAACTCGCTTAGTTTATTAGAATGGGCGTGTACAGGCCTGGGGAAGCCAGTGTGCAGAGAAAAAGAGAAAGAAAAAGAGGGGGGGGGCTGAAGACAGTTCCTCCAACTTTTAGGGACTGCCTACCGCATACGCACAGGGGGATGGCATGGTTACATCATAGGCAGATGAGTGAGCTCACATATGCGTGCAAGGGCTCACACAGCTGCATCATACGGAGATGATGCAACCATGCTGCACATAGGTCACTCGGGGTCCTTTAAGATTCCCGGGGCCATTAGGCACGTCTGCCTGAGGGCTCGTCCGCACATGCGTGACCCTGGACCCCGAAGTGTCAGCCATGTTGTGTGGCTGAATGATTACAGTGAGGGATTTCTAAGGTTCAGGACCCCTGATTGGCTGACATTTGTCTAGGGGTGTCCTGGTGAGTGTAGTTGGAACTTTAGGCATTTCCTTTGGATGGTCTGTTCTTGGGTGGTGCTCAGGTAATCTCAGGAAGTTTATGGTCCTTCCTGCAACCAGGGATTGCTTCAGGGTTAAGTACTGAGACTCGGGCTTCCATTAAACTTATGAATGGCCCAGTCCTACACTGGCTGGTGATAGTGGTTGGAAGTAAAGAACTTCCTTTGGGTGGTCTGTTTCTATTTAGCTTATCATGGCTAGCTCCTACACATCCAGCAAAGACAAAGACACAACTCTACAAATATGAGAAAGAAGAGGTTTCTGCTCCTTTGCACCAAGAGAAAAAAAAAGTCAAAACTTTTGTATGCTCTGGAAAGAGTAGCAGGGAGATCCCTCCACCATCTACAGAGAGTTGAAGAAAATCAGATTAAAGACATGGTGTAAATCAGAGGTGTTATGATTGTGGAGGGGACAGTCAGCCTTTCCATCCCTGGGGCCAAGGAGCCAGCAGAGCGGGCCAGACTGGAGTATTTGCTGGTTTTTTCACTTGACACAAGCTTGAGTAATTAGATATGTTAATATGACTTTGCCACTGGTGTGACAGAACACCATGATCAACTTAGTAATATATCCGTGTTGCATGCTGTGGTTCCCGAGGCCCAGGAGCACGGACCTGCCCCCCTCCCCTTTGTCTCACTCTGCTTTGTTCATGCTGCTCAGCTCGTGTGTTCTCATCAAGCTGTAAGATGGACACAGCTCACGCTGCCAAAGCCCTGAGTGTATATTTTACAGGGACTGAGAATGACTAGAATCTCCTAAGACTAAGACTTTACCCATGGCTTGCTACCCTAGGAAAGGAGTTCCCAAACAGGACTGCAGGTGGGCCAGACTAGAGCAGGGGAATCGTCCTGTACAGGACTGCACGCCTCCACAGAACCTCAATACTACTTACTACTCAGTATGGTAAATTCCACTAGTGAAGTGGCTCCTGCAGGGGTGAGAAATGTCAGCACAATAAGCCGAGGCCTAGCTCCCATGGGAAACAAGACAAAACAAACAGAAACCTGACTAAAGTGCTCATGAGCACAAAATCCATTAAATCAAAAGAATGTTACCTCAGCTGGAGATGGAACTCAGTGCAAAGGGCTTGCCTATCCTGTGCAAGGCCCTGGGCGCAAGGCACACACAAGCTGCCTCCTACTTCTTTTTTTTACGGGGGGGGGGGGGGGGGTTCAAGACAGGGTTTCTCTGTAGCTCTGACTGTCCTGGAACTAGCTCTTGTAGACCAGACTGGCCTTGAACTCACAGAGATCAGCCTGCCGCTGCCTCCCAAGTGCTCGGATTAAAGGTGGGTGTCACTACCGCCCAGCCCTCCTGCTTCTGTCTAATTTAGCACCCAGGCTTGAGGCACTTTGGACTGTCAACCTCTAGTGTCTACATGCATACACACAGCTACACATAAGTGAACATGCATAAACACAAGCATGTGCACCATAAAAAAAACCACCAATATTAGAGATGAACTAGAGGCTGAAGTGGCATAATTAGTGAACTTAAGAGACAGCCCATCATACCACAAGAACACGTGCTCAACTATGTTCATAGCAGCATTGTTTGTCATAGCCAGAACCTGGAAACACCATAAATGCCCCTCGACCAAAGAATGGATGAAAATGTGGTATATTTACATAATGGAGTACTATACAGTGGAAAAAAGGGACGACAACTTAAAATTTGCAGGCAAATGGATGGAGCTAGAAAACATCATATTGAGTGAGGTAACCCAGACCCAGAAAGATAAATATCATATGTACTCACTCATAAGTGGCTTTTAGAAATAAAGCAAAGAAAAACCAGCCTACAACTCACAATCCCAGAGAACCTAGACAACAAAGAGGACCCTAAGAGAGACATACATGGATCTAATCTACATGGAAAATAGACAAGATCTCCTGAGTGTAGGGATCATGGGAAAGGGTAGAAGGGGAGTGGGGAGAAAGGAAGGGGAGCGGAGAAAATACATAACTCAAAAAATAAATAAAAATAGAAAAATAACTTGGGTGATGGTGGGGCACACCTTTAATCCCAGCACTCGGGAGGCAGAGGCAGGCAGATCTCTGTGAGTTCAAGACCAGCCTGGTCTACAAGAGCTAGTTCCAGGACAGGCTCCAAAGCTACAGAGAAACCCTGTCTCAGAAAACAAAAATAAAAAAATAAAATAAGAGACAACCCAGGATTCAACTGGAGCTGGGGTGTGATCATAAAGAGTTGGCTAGGACAAGACCCTGAACTCTGCTCCTGGGCCACAAACCCACACAGGTCTCATTTCCTTCCTCAACCCATGAAGCAGATGGTTATTCAATCTTCAACAAAATGACAGGCCCAAGGAGCCTTTTAGGATGGAACACAGGGCAACCCAGCCATCCCGGGGGCTCTGAGCAGGGTTCCAGTCAGTGCTAGCAGCAAGTTCTGTTAGTTCTATCACTGGCACTCCTCTGAGGTCTATTGCCCAGTAAATCAGCAAAGACACTGGGAGCAGGGCAAGCTGATTTGGTGAGTACAACTGGACTCTCCTTTGCTTTTCTGGCTTCCCTGAACAAAAGGATTGATTTTGTTCGCCCAAACTATAATCAGAAAAATCTCATTAAAATACAAACCAAAACAGCTCATTTTGGCAACTCTCCCCACTACCACACTAAAATCAGTACTGCAGACTTCAGAGCATTCCAGGCGGCTCTTCTTCCATCATCAGCCCCACCATCCGTCATACCGATGCCCTGCTGGTACAGTGACAGTACCCCAAGTTAGCTTGCCAAAGGTCACCTATGCCCTGCTGGTACAGTGACAGTACCCCAAGTTAGCTTGCCAAAGGTCACCTATGCCCTGCTGGTACAGTGACAGTACCCCAAGTTAGCTTGCCAAAGGTCACCTATGCCCTGCTGGTACAGTGACAGTACCCCAAGTTAGCTTGCCAAAGGTCACCCTCATCAAAAAGCTTTCCTGGAATGACTCCACGAACACTGGACACAAGCGCCCTTGGCATGGCTTCTTTAACACCTCAATAATCATGGGGTTTTTGTCATTGTAACTATGATTAACAGTTTATTGGTTTGCTATAAGGTTCTACCAGCAAAATGTCTAAATATCCATATCAGCTTTCATAGGGGGACTTCAAGAATTCTGGTTCCGTCCCACTTCTGTTTTATCCTGATTGGCCACCCTGCAAATTGAATGTCCAGCTTCTCCTGCAATAGGAAAATCATTTATTAAACACCAAGGTCTCATACAAGCATTACACACCAAGCACAAGCAGAAGCTTATAGCCTGTGTTGTCTTGTGGATCCTGAGTAGCCCTGAGAAGCCCTGCTGGAGCTGTGGCTAAAGCTGCCGGGTTCCAAACTGCTGAAGGTCTCAGAAACCAGTGGTAGGAGCCAGGAGTGAACACACAGAGAGCCCTTAGGTTCTAAAGCTAAAGCCCAGGAGTCAACTGGTACCCATGGTGGGAACATTTAACCAAATGAGAAAGTGGAGTCTGACGGGACCTGAACTGGATGCAGTGTTATCCGTGTCAATCATCACTTCAAAGGTTTGGGCAGTACTGTTTCTAGGATCCTCCACTGCTCAAATCTGCAGATGCTCAAACCCCTTAAGGGCAAAGCATTTGCATAAAACCTACACACTTCCATGAGTGGCCACTCCAGCTCTAGCTTACCTAGCGCCTGACATGGCGTTAATGATAAACAGTTCTTGTGCTGTATCATTTAGAAAGTGGGAAGGAACATGGACATGCTCACTATAGGTCAAGCTTTTTCAAATATTTTCCAGCCATAATTGGTCAGCTAACTAGAAATATATGGTCTTTCAGAAAGTGTCTCTTTAAAAAGATAAAATTGGGAACTTCATATAATTAACTCTGTTGGAATTTCCCCAGAATTCCCATGCTAGCTTTTGTCTTCAGCGCCTAATCTCCAACCACTACGTTCTCAAATAGAGGAGCCTACCGGCGTCACTTTCTCTCTTGCCCTGAGAAGGTTAAAGAAAAGGGAGGACAACGCTGTCCGAATACTTTATTGTGGGAGGTGAGGCGACACTAGGTGGATGGAGACTCAGAGCAGCAGCGGAGGAAACTGCTAAGCAGGTACAGCCCATGGACTAAAGGCTTTTGCTCAACAAGTACTAAGAATCCATATTCTCGTGTTTCTCCATGGCTCAGTTCTTCATGGGTCACCTTTCATTCAAAGGGCCATAGAGACCAAAAGAAAGGATTTTTCCCAGCTCCCAGCCACCTTCAGGTCTCGCAGTCGAGGCATCCGGCGAACCTATTTTCCAGCTTCCTCTGGAGGGCTGGAAAGCCTCGCCCGCATGGCAGCACCGTGCTCCCGGCTCCTGGTCCTCTTCTCTGAATACTGGAAAGGGGAGAGAAGAGGCACCGGTCACACCACCCTCAGTTACACAAAATAATGAACGTTTTTATCGACAAGACTCGGGTCGTTCATTCACTGACCAGAGATGAGAGGCAGTGATCCCTGGACCAACACAGACTTGCCAACAGCAGCACGGACAGCCACGGCATCAAGCTCCTCCCAAAGAAGTCAAGGGTATTTTGGACAGATGCATTCTGCCCCTGGCCCCAGAAGCTCCTCTAAGTACTGGGGTCACTACCTTGAGAGCAGCCTGTTCTGATGCTGGGCGGTTCTACTGATCCAGAGTTGTCATGGTGAACCTGTATTTTCCTGTAAACTCCCCCCGCCTGCCATTATCCTGCCTTCTTTAATCTTCAAGTGACTGGCGGCCAATAATGACCTCCTTTCCCTCTTCTTTAGCCCACATGTTACTGTTTTCTCCAAGTGTTTACAGGGTGTGGCCTTTTTCTTCTGATGCCTACAAAACAGCACTGTAACCGCAGCGCTCTTTATTAAAAATTCAGAACTAGACTTGAACAACACGGTTCTCCAGCCAATGACTGGCAGACAGCAGGGAGGGAGCCTATTTCTGACACGTTTCTCTAAACATCAGGAAGAGCAAGCAGCTCCTGACAGTCACAGCCTCCCAGTGATTCCCAGGTCATTTACAGCAGGATAACATTCCAGGATTTCTCCATCATCAACTGTCACCACACTGGATCCTCCAGTGGGCTAAAGAAGAGTAACAACTGGCCTGCTCTAAATGCATCATTCACCTCGGAGGTCCGCAACTGCTGTGCCTGTCTGGACATGTGGCCAGCAGCCATAGTAGGTTATGGGGAACAGAGTATACAGCTACTCACTGAAAGAGCACTTTGATTTTCTCAAATGCTTATTAACCTACATTCAGAACAGAATGCTTTAATACACGTGTTTATATGCTATTGATAGATATTGACAGATTTTAAAAAAATAAATTAATTATTCTTCCCTGAGGAAGGGTAAAGAAAGAAAATGAATTAAAACATGAGCACATCTCAACAATGGAACATCTTTTAAGAGCCAGAGACATGGAAAGAAAGGACACAAAAATAGAGGACTTAGTAACATCTAAGCAAGGACTTGATTGAATTCCTCCCCCAGTCCCGAGAAGAAAAATATGAAGATTTTCAACTTTTAAACTCCTCTACTTGTCTGGGGCAAACAACAACCATTAAGAAGTTTCAATCAAATTACTAAAGATTTTGATTAAAGAATTGTATAAATTCTTTTGAATGGCAGTTTTTAAAAATTACATTTATTGCCAGACATAATGGTACATGCCTTTAATCCCAGCACTTGGGAGGCAGAAGCAGGTGAATCTCTGTGAATATGAGGCCAGCCTGAACTAAATTCTAAAACAGCCAGAACTACATAATGGAATACTATCTCAGAAAAAAAAAGGCATTTATTTTGCATCTGTTTCTGTGTGTGAGTGCACAGATGTCATAGTTCAAGGGTGGAAGCCAGAGGACAGCTTTTAGTTCATTCTCTCCTTCCACCATGCATGTCCCAGGGATGGAACTTAGGTGGTCCACTTGACCACAAACACCCTCACCCAATAAGCCATGTTCTCAGCCCTTGAATAACAAATTTCCAAACTGTTTCCTTCATCAAAAGGCTTCTCTGTAAGTTCGAGGCCAGCCTGGTCTATAGAGCAAGTTCCAGGACAGGCTCCAAAGCTACAAAGAGAAACCCTGTCTCAAAAAAACAAAGCAAAGCAAAGCAAACCAATCCAAACCAAACCAAATCAAACCAGGGAAGAAGAGATGGAGGACAGATACATAGGCTCTTCAAGCAATCTTGTAGGTGCAGGAGGCCAAGGCAGCGTGGGCTCTATGAGACCCTGCCTCAAAAACAAAACAGAACAAAAGGACTATTTAGGAGAAAACAATATGAAACACTATTCTAGAACATAGACAGACATGTGCTCTAGGAAAAACGATCTGACCCTGGACTGTCTGCAGCGACTAGGAGAGAAGTCTAAGGGTAAGAGTTCAGAAGGTGATGACACAGCAGGCCACTAAAAGGAGCACACTGAAGTAAAAGTCATACTAATGTAGTTAATAAGTCTATCCTAATGTAGAAAGTCAAGATGGCCCTTGAACAAAAAGGGGGGAAGGGTAAATGCAAAGTCACTCCCAAGACATCATCAAAAAAAACAGAATAAAGAGGATGTTAACCACACAACGCAGGCACAGGAACAGAGGATATGCAGATGCAGTAACAACAAAGGAAAAGGCAGCAAAGAGGCAGAAACAGGCAGATGCTTTGAAAGGGGCATGAGATACCCAACACACTGGGGTTGAAGATGGCTCCCTGGTGTGGAGCCTGTGCAGCTCTTACAGAGGACCCAATTGCAGTTCGCAGCACCCATGTCAAGTAGCTCACAACCACTTTAACCTACAGCTCCAGGGATCCAACATCTCTAACCTCTGAGGGCACCTGCATGCATGTGCAAATATCCAAACACATAAACATACTTCTTTAAAAAAAGTTCCAAATATGGAGGGATAGCAGGACAGTCACTTTTTTATTGTTGTTGCTGTTTATTTTTGAAGACAAGGTTTCTCTGTGTAACAGCCCTGCCAGATACTATGAGCCTGTAGGCTGAAGATGGATGCCCTCAACGTTACGTAAGAACTTTGGGTAACTGTCCAAGCAGCAAAATGTCTCTGTCAATTCTAGAGTTTTGGAGTTGCTTACAATGCACTTCCTGTTTACTTAGGTAATATTATATCCTTCTGGAGTCTTTGATGGAGTTGAAAAATAGTTATGGTTTTCCTTAGTTATGATAAAAGATAAAGTAGATATAAATATTGTAACTGTAATTCTTGCTCAATACCTGTTTTATTATATGTAATTTTACTATGTTAAAGTTAAAACCTTCCTTTTAATTTAGACAGAAAAGGGGAAATGCTGTGAGAAATCCTCCTGTATATGTGTTGTTTTTATTGGTTAATAAATAAGCTTCTTTGGCCTGTGATAGGGCAGAGTACAGCCAGGCAGGAAAACTAAACTGAATGCTGAAAGAAAGAAGGTGGAGTCAATGAGAAGCCATGTAGCTGCATGCAGGAGCCCACTGGAACCTTGTCAGTAAGCCACAGCTATGTGGCAATACACAGAATAATAGAAATGGGTTAAGATACAAGTTAGCCAGAAATATGCTTAAGCTATTGTCCAAACTGTACTGCAAATATAGTTTCTGTGTGATTATTGCGGGACTCAGCAGGACAAAACCTCCACCAACACACACACACACACACACACACACACACTGTCCAGTCTCAAAGGCTTATATTAATTATACACTCTTTGGTCTAGCTCAGGTTTATTATTAACTAGCTCTTACAACTTAAAATAACCCATAATTCTGGACTATCTTTAGCCACATGGCTTGGTACCTTTTCTTGGTGAGGCATTCTCATCTTGCTTGCTCTGCATCTGGCTGATGATTTCCTCTTCCCAGAATTCACTTAGACTGGTTTTTCCACCTATACTTCCTGCCTGGCTACTGGCCAATCAGCATTTTTTTTTTTTTTTTGGTTTTTCGAGACAGGGTTTCTCTGTAGTTTTGGAACCTGTCCTGGAACTAGCTCTTGTAGACCAGGCTGGCCTCGAACTCCCAGAGATCCGCCTGCCTCTGCCTCCCGAGTGCTGGGATTAAAGGCATGCGCCACCACCGCCTGGCAATTAGCATTTTTTTAAACAAATATGAATGACAAATCTTTACAATGTACAAAAGCATTCCACAGCAGTGTCTCTTCATAGCAACAGAAACCAAACTAAGCAGGGCAGTGGTGGCACACGCCTTAAATCCCAGACCTCAGGAGGCAGAAGCAGGCAGATCTCTGTGAGTTCCAAGGCCAGCCTGGTCTACAAGAGCTAGTTTCAGGACAGACACCAAAGAAAAACCCTGTCTTGAAAAACAAAACAAACAAAAAAACCAAACTAAGACAAGGAGTGATGTTCTAAAGCTGTCCCCAAAGCAGAATTCAGGCCTCTAGGTTTTAAAGAGAATGTCATACAAATAAAGTTGATTTTCTGAGAGACTAAAATTATGGAAAATTTAATAATGGAAACAACATAACATTCAAAAATGTTATGCTATTTAACTCTGGGCACAGTTCTTACCTCATTCTTCAAGCACTTTCTCATTTCCCGATCAAGATCGTTGCAATGACCAAAAAATTTCAGAATGTTGTGCTAAAGGGGAGAAAGGGGTAAGATATTTCATCTCATAATATACTAATGTCTCTGAAACACAGAACATAAACAGATGCTGCTATAGTAATGAGGTCTGCCACACGTGGCTCTGGTATTAAGCAATTAGGAGGCCTACCCTGCCCTCCCTCCATGGCAGGAACAAATGCTTGCCGGACAGAAGCAAAGACAAACGTGAACGATGAGATGACTTGGTGGGTGGAATGCTTGTAAGCATAGAGACGTGAGTTACACCCACAGCACGGACAGAGAAGTCAGCAGCCCAGGAAGGAGGGGACAAGGAGATCCTGGGGACTCCCTGGTCAGCCACCTAGCTGAGTCCATGAGCTCCAGGTTAGTGAGAGATCTTGTCTCAAAACAGGGCAAAGTGATAAAGACATCAGACACTCATGTACGTGCACACACACACACATACACACACACACACACTTTTCTTAGTTTAAAAAACAAGGAAGCCTCCTACCCCATTAAAATCTTACATAGCATAAAAGAATGGAAAAGTTTTAATCACAGTGCAGGAGAGACGGTTCAGCGGTTAAGGGCACTTGGTACTCTCCCAGGACCCAAGTTCAGCTCCTATCACCAACAACAAGCAGCTCACAGCAACCTGCAACTTCATCTCCAGAGAAATCTAATGCCTCTGGCCTCCAAAGATAGCCATATGCATGTTCTCTTATAGAAAAACACACAAAACATCATTAAAAACTTAAAATGATGGGCTGGAGAGATGGCTCAGAGGTTAAGTGCACTGACTACTCTTCCAGAGGTCCTGAGTTCAATTCCCAACAACCACAAGGTAGCTCAGGACCATCTACAATGGGATCTGGTGCCCTCTTCTGGCGTGCAGGCATACATGCAGGCAAAACACCATATACATAATAAATCTTTTTTTAATAAGTAAAGGGTTTAATGATCTAAACCATCTCCTTAATTAGCACGCACCACCCCGTCCCTATTAGAGGGATATGGCTTCAGCGACATAGGCAAAGACTTACTTCACTAGCAAACATTGATCCACAAAAGTGACTTAAGGGGCTGAAGAGATAAGTCTGGTTAAGAGTGCTTGCTGCTCTTGTAGAGGATTCAAATCCAATTCCCAAAACTCACAATGAGTATAATTCCAGTTTCAGGGGATCCCAAGCTCTCTTCCGGTCTCTATGGGCACCAGCACTCATGCACGTATGCAGTATGTGTGTGTGTGTGTGTGTGTGTGTGTGTGTGTATGAGAGAGAGAGAGAGAGAGAGACTTTAAAACTTTTAAAATGTTATTAAAATGTTTGCTGCTGAAGCCACTTTCTTATGTGCCTCTATCCCAAAAGTAATCATCAAAATACATCAGACACATACTGCATCATTAGATGACCTGTACAGACCACATAAATAAGCCACTAGCTTATAAGAAAAACCTGTGTTGGGGCTGGAGCGATGGCTCAGTCCCTACTCTTACCCTGGTCTGTTCTAAGGCGTACAAGGGGTCATAACTCCAACTCCAGTGGATCTGACGCCCTCTTCTGGCCTCCGTGGATAATACATGCATATGGTGCACAAATGCACATATAGGCAAAACACCCATACACATAAAATAAGAATAAATAAACCTCAAAAAAATGTTTTTAAATCTGTCTAAAGTTCAAAGTCTGCTTTGTTGGAAGCGCAAAACTAAAAATCTCATCTAGGTTTCAAACCCTGTTGCCAGAACTGTGAATGCTGCATGGCAGATGCCAAGCTGGCGCCAAGACCCTGGGCTCTAGTGAAGTCAGGGTTGTTTGCATGCGACAATGTTTAAGGCGGGGCAGCAGCACAGTGATCTGCAATAATGATCTGCTATAAACGGTGAACTTGTGCCTGTAATGAGCAAGGTTTTCCTTCTCCCCCTAATTATGACTTGCGTGGGAACCAGACAACACATAATTAGGAAGCGATGCCTGGTGCTGTTGCCTTGTGCTATTTCTTGTTCCTCCTTCACCATCACAGAATCACTTCTCAGGTTGACGCTGCATAAACTGTCAGAGCTGTTCCAATAAGCCCTTAAGTCAGTCCAGGATTTCCTCTCTGTCACCTAACGGCCTTTTTAGAACAAACACTTCCTGTGTTTTCCCTAAATGAGTTCTGTGACAAACAATAAACAGGGACATTTTCACCTTTCTAATAAGAACTACAGCTGACACTCCTAGAAATCACAGCAGAGTGCTTAGTGTCTACAGCACCCCACAGGAGTGTGTACACACAATACACCTCCCCACCCCAATGCATGTACATATGTGACCTCGATTCCATCGTGTGTGGAGGCCAGCGGTTAATGCTGGTGTTTTCTTCAATCTCTTCCCACCCCATTTTTAGAGTCAGGTCTCTCCTGAACCTGGAGTTGTCCAATTGGCCTACGCTGGCTGGCTAGCAAGCCCCGGGGAGCCCACACGGCTGCGACCAGCTTTTCCACGCGTGCTTGCCTCAGAGCCACGCCCTCACGCTTGCAGTTAGCATTCACCAGCTGGGCATCTCTCCAGCTGCCCCACAGACACACATCTTATTTTAAAACCTAAGATAAAAGCTAACTTTTGTCCTTTCACCTCCACGCTAGCTAAGCCCAGATGAGAATCACACTTTGTGAAGTGGAAAATGTCAGCCGAACACCGAGGGGGAACTGGTAAAAAACACCTGTGCACGGAAGCCGCCTTGAACCTGCTAGTACTGGATGTGCATTCTAGAAACCAACCCACCGGAGTAACTGGTGAGTGGGATCTGTGCACCTTGCATACACAGAGAGCAGTGGACCGGGCGCTGGGGAATCAGCAGGGCAGGGGGAAGACAGAGCGAGCCGTTTCCATACAGCACTGCTGTAGTAGAGGGGCACCTGGGGGGGCCAAGAATCTGTCATCAGGAGATGCACATGGGTGGTTCTGGTTAAAAGCAGTGGTGATAAAACAAAACAAAAAAAACTGTGAATGTGGGGGAGCGGAGGAGAGAGGGCAGAGGTGGAGGAGATGAGAGGAGGAGGGAGGGGATAAATAGAAAACACTGTATACATGTATGAAACTGTCAACGAACTCAACAAAACAGACATACAATTTTGATATGAATTTAAACACTTGAAGCTGCACAGTGGTGGCACACGCCTTTAGTCCCAGCACTCAGAAGGCAACGGCAGACTGATCTCTGAGTCTGAGGCCAGCCAGGTCTAGAAAGTGAGTTCCAGGACAGCCAGGGCTGTACACAGAGAAACCCTGTCTCAAAACAAACAAACAAAAAAACAATAGTAATGACAATAACTTTAAATACTTGAAAACTTCCCCAATAACCCAAGTACTTATCTGTTCTGCTCACTCTCTCCCTTCACAAGAGTGACAGCAGACATCTCCAGAGGCTGGGGAGAAGTGGGGCAGATGGAATCAGAGATGACACTGGTCTCTGGCTTTGACAAGTAGAAGCACAAGACAGAAAAGGGGGGACAGTTTAAAAAGAGCTGAGTCTGTCTGGACAAGCTGAGTTTGTTTGTGGAACAGCTAATTCATGGAGTTAACATAGAGGTAAACAGAATTCAGAAAAAGAAAAAAAAAAGTTTGAGCTAGAGATTTCAGTTGCCAAAATCACAGAAGAATTTCTCCGGACACATAGCTGAGAAACAGTCTTAAGGTAGAGGCAAGACTGCCAAGGAGATGAAGCGTAGTCAAGACTAAGTAAAACCAGGGAAGAGACAGGTTGCAGAAGAGATCAAATGCTAGCCTGAAGCAGTGAGGTGGCGGAAGATGTCTACGGAGTTTAACCATGCTCTAGCCAATGGCTTCAGTTGGCTCAGCATCCTCCCAAGGAGCAGACAACCAGCTGAAAGAGGAGAAAGCAAACAGTCCTTCCAGTCTGCTCTGAAGCCTGGGATTACTGAAAGGTTTATGTGCTTGTGTTCTCAGCAAGGGAAAAACGGGAGTCTTTAAAAATGTTAATAGGAAGACTCCGTGCAAAAGGGGGGAAATACAGAGATAAGAAAATGCCCCCTCCCCCCCCCCCCCCCCGCGGTAAAGCCTATTCGTAGTGACTTTATTTCTGGGTGGCAAAGGAATGGTAGCTTCTGTTTCCTTGATGCTTTCTTGGGCTTTTCATACTGTCTACAAAGACATGTATTACTTAAATATTGCCTTTATAAATCAGAAAAAAATAACATTAAGGGCTTGCAGGTGGCTTTGAGAAAGCAGCTGCTCTGCATTCTGTATTCTAAATGTAGATGATTTGAGTCTTGGTGACAAACACAGGCAAAACAGCCCAGTAGATCAGAGGCAGCTTGTAGATACTGACAGCCACGGAAATGACATGCGGCAGCAAAGACCACAGAAAAACCACAAAACACGGGGAAATGATGAAAGCACAGCAAGGCATGCTCTGCGGAGATGAAGGAGCCCTGGACTTCAAGAGGACTACAGAACACTGCAGCATCCCTGCATGGAAAGGGACATCCAGAGTGATGGCCTCGTAACACAGAAAGATTAAAACAGCCACACATATTGGGGCCAGCAGCTAAACAACTTGGTCTACCATCCTATCAATTAGATTACAGAGGCAATGTGTGGTACATAACCCAGCATCCTCAAAGAGTGCAGGAAAAGGCAGAAACTTGCAGCTTTAGCACAAATCCTATCAAAGCACACATACGGCCCGTCCCGCTCACATCAGATGCAAAGCCGGTGGCTTAGTTCTACTGTGAGCACGAGGGATCGCTAGGCTCCAGTGACGCTGCCGGAGTGTGGTGCCACTCTGAGAGCAGTCTCTTACTGCTCAGCTCTGGGGTACACAGAACAGGCGGAAGGCACTTCTTGAACTGTTGGCCACGGCCATCACACTCTAACCAACAGCACCTCCATCCTCAGCCTATGTTCAAATTATTTGACGTCAGTCATCCTTTCCTTTGGTGTGACTCATCTGGAATAAAGTTATAATTATCTGGTTCTACTCATGGCACATCTCTGAGTACAGGGATTAAAGGTATGCGTCACCGA